GTGTGGTAGCTGTAGATAAGTTATGAGATATCTTTCCAACAATTATGGACTTACCAATGTATATTGCGCAGTCCATCCACTTTTTTCCAGTCGGACCTTTCCATTTTTCCACATGAAACCCTGCCGCTGGACCCTCGAGGATTGTCTTGAACAGCAAGTAATGCTTTTGGGCAAGCCTCCAGAATGGCTCCTCCTCGGGATACTTGGCCTTCATGTACGCCGCAAGATCAGGCAGTTTTTGACAAATGAAATGGTCGATCTCATCAGCTTTCCACTCGGGGGAGCATCCTCCTCGTGCATTACAGCAAGCCCTGCAGGCTTCAGCACATTTCGGATATGCTTTTCTTTGGGGACTGAGTCATTACATAGTTTGCCGTTCTGCGAGCGATGTCAGTAAGAATCATTAACACAACGAGAAAAAAACCTCAAAGCCGGAAACAATAGCCACTAGTTGGAATACCTGCTTCATTTTTGCTGACTTGGGGCCTCGGGCCTACAAAGTAGTGCCCTGCCGGGCCGGGCCGGGCCGGGCTGCCCGAGCCCAGCCCGATTTTGGGCCCGGCTTTGTCGGGCCTGGGCCGTGGAATTCTCAAGCCCGAGCCCCTTGACAGGCCCGGCCCGAGCCCGCCCATGAGACTTCTAGCGCCAGAGGGGAACATCTGGCCCGTTCTGTGCATTGAGCATCGCGAGGCCCATGCCAAACGGAGACAGTCCGCCTCCTCCTCCTCCTCCACCAGCTCCGCCCCCCACCAACACCCCCGATTTGGCCGCCCCGCATAAACGCTGCCTCTCATGCCCGTCATAGTCGACCCGCGCTCCCACTCCTCGCCCGCAGCCGCCATGGCCTGTTGCGCTACTGCCATCTGGTACGCCTGCTTCGCATATAGCCCAACCTCGCTCCCGTCTCTCGGTGTAAGCGGGCCAAGGGCACCGCTGCTTTTGCTCGAGTTATATGAGGTCAGTTATCACAAAAAATTATTTGCTTGTGGTTTGTGGTTTATGACTTATGGTTGTGTTCATTTTTTGTGGTTGAGGTCATTTTTGTGCTTGTGACATACATGGTTGAGGTTTTGATTTTTGTGGTTGAGGTTTCAGGCCTGTATTGCAAGTGTCTGGAAGCTAGAATTCACATTTCCTTTCTCCCCTCCCATCAGATTCAGATCAATTCATCAATGCTCTACAACAAGTTAATACTCTCTACAAAGCTCCAAAGTCTGGAAGGCTATACTTACCAAGTGATTGGTCTGGGAATCTTGCAGTTCAAATGTCTGAGGCTTTCTGAAGCTTGGTGAGACCCAGATAATCTAGATATGTAGAAGGTGGATGCCTTAAAGTGCGATAGCAAGATTGATGGGATTGATCGGCCATCATAATATCAATTTCTACTAAATTTAAATGTGGGTAAGTGGTCTAATGCATGATACCTCAAGCTCAAACATAATAAACATAACCACAGATCTCATAGCACAACCACAAACCAGTAATTGAGAAGCAAAAACCATGTAGACCACACACCACAACCTGGTAAAAAACACAACCATGAAGCTGTACCATCTTCAAAACCTCAATTAACAGAGCACAAACTCAAATAACTAAATTTTTGTGAAAACTGCTCTTATAGAGTTACCCGTGCCGTTTGTGCCTGTGGAGCTTGCGGGCGAGTTGCCGCGTATACCGCCGTTGCCCACGAATGGCCGTTGCGGTGGTCGGCCAAGCAGGGAAGGCAGTGAGGATGAACTTGAAGGAGTGGGTTGTGCGATTATAGGTGGTGATGATCGTGAAGAAGGGATGGGTTGTGCGATTATAGGTGGTGATGATCGTGAAGAAGGGATTGGCTGGGAGGGGGTTTGGCGAGGGAAAGAAGTAGAGGTCACAGGGGCAGAACGGGGATTTGAAGTCGTCGCGGGTGTGGTCATAAGCGTGCTGCTCCCGCTGCCACGCGTTCCCAGAAGGAGCAGGAGCAGACTTCTCCAACACGTTTGTCGACCCGCTCGAAGTCGAAGTACTTGTCGAGTTGGCTGTCGAAGAAGCAGTTGCAGGAGTCGATTATGTCAGCACCGAAAATTCTCACTCCGGATGTCGACTCAGGCGTATACGGGGTTTTTTTTAAAAAAAAGATCCCTTGTAATTAGAATATTAACATTTTTAAAAAACATCAGTGATTTACAAGTTTCCACGCTGTCAAACTCCAAGTTTCCACGCTGTCAAACTCCATATCTTTCTTGGCACTTTGCCATCAACATTTTTTTTTCATCTTTTTTGGCCTTTCCCCTACTCAGTATTTTCCCCATACTTAAGGAATTTTCCACACATCAGGTCTGGGGCCTTATAGCTACCACACTGCCCACCCTGACATGGCCTTTCAACTTTTTAAACCTTTTTTTGATCTCTCATTTCCCTATATAAAACCCACCTTTTGGCAGGGGCATAAATTAGAGGCATTTTTTAAAAACATTCAGACTGGTAATGAGAAGGCTTTTAAAAAAAAAAACCCCGTGTACAGGTGGACTCCGAGGCACTCGAGGTCAAATCTACGAAGCTTCGGGAACGGGCAAAGCAAGCTTTGTGCTTGAGGGACACACTGCATTTAAAGAAGCACCTAGTCCAGCTTGTAGTTTACAAGCAAGTAGCTATATTATGATTTATCAACGAGTATTATGGCTTGAGGTGTCAGAACTGAGCCAACGGACCTGAAGAAGTGTGTAGCTATCCAATTTGGCCCAAGGCTATCTCACCAACTCGCCCAGGACAGTTGGCACATCCGGCAAGGCCTTCACCGCCTCCGCCTGGAACGCCTCCCTCGCCTGTCGCTTCTCCAACGAAGACGACAGGCCGGGGTCATCCAGCCTGAATTGAAACAGCCGGAGCATCGGCAGCAAGCTACACCATTGCAACAGCTTGCGCCCGACCGCGGCAGACTCCATCAGCAGCCGGATTCCCTCCACACATCCGAGACGCGGGGCAATATCCTGGCCGCGGGGGTCATTCACCCATTGACATATCACCATCGGCTTCACTGGGTTGTAGCGCTCTCGCTGGAAGAGAGAGAGTTGCTGTCTCCCGGTGCCCTTGATGCTCATGGTGAGCGTGAGGCGGGAGTCAGGCGGCCACCGACTTGAAACTCCCTCCAATGCACTCAGCACGTTGTCTGTTTGGGCACTCGCCATGGGGGATGACACTTCGAAGGAAATGGCAACGAGGGAGAGTTTGGGGGAGTTAATGAGGCCGCTGATAAGGGACAGGCCGTGCATCAGGAATAGACAACTTTGCAATCACACGCTAGGTAGACTTGATAGCCGTGGTAGCCCGGTAGACAAGTCCCGTCATCTCGGGCACTTGGTAGCACCCTGTCACATTCTGGTAGCAACCAGTAGCAGCCCAGTAGCAGCTAGGTGGTACACCAGTAGCAATTAGTAGTTAATGATAGCCCAGTTATTCACTCAATAATCCAGTAATAGAACGAAAGAATGCACAATAATTATACAATAGCAACTACAGAATACATGCATTCTATATAGTCGACGTGCAGCTGCTTCCATACCATCATGCACGCGTCCAGTGCCCTCACCACCACCACTAGCCCAGGGGAGCCAGCAGCGAGAGGTGATGCTCTCGACAGTGGCGTGGAGGCACTTTGTACGTGAGCTCATCGTGCAGCTCGGCCTGGGCGGCGAGGAGGGCAGTAAGCGGCGAGGAGGGCAGTGAGCATCACGCGGGGGTTGCGAGGGTGTCGGCGGGGGGCATATGGGGATAAAGGGTGGTGGTGGGGGGCATGGGAGGACACGGGAGGGTCATGGAGGGCAGTCTTGATCGTTTGCGGGAACGGAACGGTCAATCTGGCTGAAAATGGGTGAGCATATGCGCGCAGGGCGGCCGAAGCTTCGTACCAAAAATCGTGCGATTTGGCTGGCAAGAAAAAGAGCAATGACCAGTTAGTATATGGTCAAATAATAAGAAAGAAGACGAACCAGGTCGAGCGGGTGAAGTAGATGACGCTCAGACTCCAGAGGCACAGTTCATGGGCATGCTCGGGTGGCAGTCGATGAGGGGGGGAAGAGACGGCAGTGGAGGGGGGAAGAAAGAAGGGGGAGTCACTTGCCAGATGGCGCCATTTGATTTAAGCCGGGATCTTTGCCCGAGCCATCAATCACGTCAAATGGCGCCACCTGGCATGTGATCATGGACTTAGGCAAATTTCTCAGAGTCGGGCATGGCCCTAGCAAGAGCAAATAAGGCTTGCCCACTAGTTAAAGTACTGAATGACTGTTCACAATTCTACATAGTGAAAAATTATAGATTTTGTGGACCATTGATATTGCATCTGGTCACAACATGATTTGACATATCTATCAATTGCTACATAAATGCCGCGCAGATCTACCAGCTGATATTGTCAGCTACTTGGCGCTGCCTGAATTCTACTGATGCAACTGATGCTACTGATGCTACCAGGCCTATGGAGCCCAAACAGGTGGCCTGGTAGCGAAAACACATTTCCTGATGTGCGGGTCATGGTATTTCGGAATGTCCAGTAATAAGGTTTCCAGCGAAGGATGTCGGACAGCCGCGTCAAGAATCAGAGGCTGGTTCTGTGGAGGCTTGTCGCTTGCCAGATATGTGATTTTCGTCACGAACAAATGGTTGGCGAGAAATTGGCGCAGCAACCCTCGCGCAAGACCAATAGCCGCGTCGATCGTGAGCGACCGACAGTGGCGAAGACGAGCATGACGCATAACGGCCGCAAGACATTCTTCAGAAGCGATCCAGGTATTGTCCCGGGACAGTGTCATCGAGCCATATTCGAATGGGTTCAAGACGACCAGGCTGCTTTCCCATGTCCATGGCGGATATGCATTTGCACTGACGCCTTTGGAGGATGTGATGAGGCGAGCATCGAGCGAGACAAGCCCGAAAAGAGCCGGAATGTGTTTTGTCCGACCATGAAAACGGCGCGTCGTTGTACTTGGACTTTCTTTGCCTTTGTGGAACCCAAAACGCCGTCATTTAACCCGGGGAGCATTGAATCTCCCATTGTGAAGGTCCCACTGGGCCAAATCGGCACTAGAGCACGAGAACATCGCGTAGTGGGTGAAAACGAAAACTGGGTCGTTGTGTTTCGTGTTACGATGGGTGAAAAGCGACAGTGTTTGGCACAAGGGAGGCAGAACGAGTTGGCGGGCTTCAGGAGGGAGGGAGCACAAGTCCGCATCAAAAGATATCGAGAGGGAGTGTAGTTTGGGAGAACGGAGGATGATGCTGTCCAAACACGCCAACAGCTTGGACAAGTCTAACGCGTTGAGGTTTTCGCAGCGAAGGACCTCCACAGAGAACTCTTTCCGTATCATACACGGCGGGAGCGCTGCGATGGCGTACGAGTCGAGCCGTATCTTCTTCGCCATGGTCAAAGCATTGAGAGATAGACCGACATCCCAATTCTGGAGAAATCGTTCGAGGCAATGCATATTGAAAAATCGACACACACGCCAGCGAGTTTCAGGAGCAGCTGGCCCCGTAGAAAGTCGTATACTCTGTCCCAAAGCTCACTGGGGAGGATGTCAAGTGGGTGGTGGATGGCCATGACGGTGAAAGGCAAGGCTGTGGAGCCGGAAAGGCGGCCTTGAGGCAGCAGGCCGCCGCCAGGCTGACGTGGTGCTCATTGATGGGGGGAGCCGCGATGATGATTCATAGACACTGTTAGTACCAGTCGAGAAGCTAAGTCGAGTGAACTTGCCTGGGCTTAACCACGATTGGCAGGCAGAAGAGGGAATGCGGGTCACCGTCACGAGATTCAGTCACAGCCTGGGAAGACCGCGAAGGTTTCGTCAACAAGCAAGCAGAATTGTATTCTATCTATATGATATCCAGTATTGTGCATAGCCAGTGCGAGTCTAGTTCACGCAACTGCTATCCAGTACTTTTAGCTACAACATATGTAGCTCCAGCGCGAAAAAATGTGAAAAGTACATACTCTAAACTCTAGATACAAGGCCAAGACTGTAAGGCGGGATACGGGAGTTGGGTTATCGAATACTTGGAGGGGTTTATGTGGTGTATGGCAAGAGGGCGAAAAGTAGGCAGGTGAGGGAATACGCGAAGAAATTGGGTGTTATGGGTATCATCATGAAATGATAGACGACGAACGTCTAGCGCTGCCAATCCTCGGGGTCATAGACGACACCGACTTTCTCGCCCTTCCTTACAACCCGGGTGAAAACATAACTGGCGCCATAGTTATGGAACACCATCTCCCACTTGTTGACGCGCGAATAATTGGCATCCGACTCGGAGTAGTAAATCCCCAGAATATCATCGAGTACCGTTCGGGGCATGAATGTTCAGCGAACTCGTCCGGGTAGTCGACGTATTGGATGGCCAGCTCCCCAGCCTCGTTGGTATATCGAATCTCGAGTTTGATTGTCGGCTTGGGCGGTTCGGGCACCAAGCGGAGAATGCGACGCGGGATGCTGGCGATGTAGTAGTAGACGGGGTTCAAGCCAAAACCGACAACAAGTGGAGGTTGGGGAGGAACATGTTTGCCGACATGGGTGGAGTTGGCAGCAGGGCGTTGCGGACGACAGAAACCATATGAAGGTGGCAGAAAGTGCGGCGTGTCGAGAGCCGAAGCGAAGGCCCTTGCGGCCAAACGCTCCTTTCCGAATGCTCCTCGTTGGTCATGAACTATGCGACCAGAATTATCGCAGATGCCGTCGTCACAATTTGAGGGTCGCCAGCTGAAGTTGTTGAGTAATGTCCTCGAAAAACTACGCGAATTCGGTGGGGGAGTGTGGGGACTGAGGAGAGTCCTGGGATTTTTGTTTCTTGTTTTGAGCTGCAGGATACCCGGCGTCGGACCTGCGCACGCGCACGGCTGTATCAGTGTGTGGCTTTTCGTCTTTGCGGTGGAGGCTGGGGATTTACACGCAGGTGGGGAGGACCCCGCCTGCGTCCTACCGTGTTTTTGTCCCAATGGGTTTTTCACGGGGGTTTTATCCAGTCGTCCTGCCCTTCGGGCCAGCCGCGTCACAACGCTGATCTATACATGTGGTGGGGTGCGGGTTCCTGGCCAACGGGTTATGTAGCAATTTTCTGTAAAGCTCATGAGAGCAGGCAGGGGGTCGACGTACTCCCTGGAGGGTACAGCTCACCCCCGCAGGCCTCTTGAGTTGGGCGGTACCCAGATTTGGGACTGTTATGCCCTTAATAATAATAATAATAATACGCGACACACCGTTATGACCAGCTGTCGCATAGACCTGTCTTCTCCCCCGAGAATCATCCCCCGTCGTTGCTGCTGACTTGATGGGTACTGTTCCTTCCGGTGTTTCGAATACGCTCAAAACCCTTGCCGAGCCGCTTGAGGTAGTGAAATCCCGGCAGCCAGGCATTCCATCCCGCTCAGTAGTTCCCCCACAGCAACCATCGTCGTAGTAAACCAGGTCGCCCGTTTTTTGTGGATGACCGCATGGAAATGGCCTGGTCGGAAGCACTGTTTTCGGCAGCATAGCAATAGTAGGCTTGAATTGCTCCGCTTTTTGAAACGCGAAGAAATGACTCCTTGAAGACAGCTCAGACACAGTTGGTTTCCGAAGCAAATGCCACGCACCGAAAGCCCGTTATTAGCTGCTTTCGGAGTGCTCTGGTCTTCCTGCGACAAGACTCTCCACGTTTTGCCATTGTCGTTTGAGATACACGCGGTTGTCTAGCAGAAAAATAAGCCCAATGCTTGAAAGAAAAAACGAGCAAAACTGACCCAATAGAAAGTGTAAGCCCCCCGCCGCATTCTTATCGTCGTTTCTAAACGTCGCGAGCACATTGCCGTTGGGCAACTCCTTCAAATGCATGTTATCCAAGTACCCCATCCCCGCCACGAATGCCCCTGCCCCGTCGGTAGAGCGGGTAACGGTAAGGATGTGTGTAGACCCGCTCTTCGGAAGGCTGTGAACGCGCCTCAAACGCTGCCATCCGCCAGCTGTCTGAGGCAAGACCGTTTGCGTGTGGATGAGCGCTATTACCAATGTGGCGAAGATTAGAGGGAAGAGCTTCATAAAGTCAGAGGTCAGAGAGCGGTATCGATAGCGAGGTAGATATATCACCCCTTCGAGCCCAGATGATTCTGCTTATGACTTCAATTGAGCGGCGCGTGGTTGCTGGGTACCAAATTAAGACCATTGCTCGTTTCTCCGGTTGCGACGAGAAGGATTATCATAGACTGGGTGGTTCATGACCAATGGGAGCGACAATATGGGGAGGGAAGAGCACTGAGAGCGTTTGAGGCCGTCAGATGAGAGGAAAAGACGTCTGATCAAGAGTTTAGGCGATGACTATGACTCATTGAGCATTTGGACTCGAGCACCGAGATATCTTCCCGAAGATTCTGTAATCGCTTCATGTGGGTGTTCACGGTGAACGAGCTCACAACGACAGATTCTGAGCCTTGTAATGCAGAACTGTGAAGAGCGTCTGAGAGTGGAGTAAGTATGGAGAGAAGCGTATTATAGGTCACGGTATCGGAGATGTGTGTAAGTAGGTGTGTAGGTATGCGGGTATGTATGTATGATCCAGGACACGAAAAAGGTCCGCAGGCATAGGCACCAGTGGTCCATATGCTTCTCTACCATCGACAAGTTTCCTGCCCATGAGCTCGCCAAGCTTTTGAAGCCCTTCGCAAGCAAACTCGGACTCTGTGAATCACTTGCAGCGTCAACGTGCCTAAAACGACCGCAGACGACGAACGCGGGGCCCAAGCGTGTACGCCAACATCCAAAGCACGAGAGCATATGCACAGGCAAATGGGGATACAGGGTTTCGAGTGGTCGTAGCTCGCAGTACGGATGCAAAGTCGCTTCAGATGTAAATGTGGGCGTCGTCAAAAACAGCGTCAAAGAGAGCCTTCTCGTCCATCGCAGAGCCCAGAAAGAATTCGGTGGAACGCATGGTGTGTAATGCACCGCGGGATACGGTCGGTAGGAGCATAGGTAATGCATGCGCAGGGCTGCAAACTCGTATGCCGGGAGCGTGACGGTGACGGATGTGACCTTCGAAGGAGGCGACGAAAAAGTGTCGCAAGTACTCGTATGAGCAGGCACTGACTCTGAAAACGACTAGAGCAGCAGGGGGTGATACTTGAACATGCGTGGAGAGGTGAGATGACGCCGTAGAAGGAGTAGGCAGTATTTGAGAAAGTTGCGAGTGGTCATCCGCGGTAAAGTCCTCTTTTTGAAGAACACACCGCATGCCGATAAACATAGGCGCGAGAGTGTCGAGAGTGTAGAGAAGGGTATAAGGCGGCGCGCGGGCGGACAGGGCGGGGAGGAAAGCAGCTTGAATTTGTGCGTCTGGTTCTCGCAACCAGTAGTGAGCTCGTTCTCCTTTGAGCAGTCTGGAAATCCCCAGCGCCACAGCCGCCCAGTGGCAGCAGCGACCCACCCCGGGCCAGCAAGGTTACTGCACCCGCCTGAGGCGTGTTTGCGAGTCGTTGTCGTGGGACCCACGAGCGCTGCCGAGCAGCATAGGGCTCGCGTTAATGAGACAAATGCCCTGTTTCTGTTGTGTCGATTGAATGCGGAGTCGGCAAGCACCTGCGGAGAGAACAGGTTAACAAAAGAGAGGAAGACAAATTGTGCTCTGCGCACAAGATATTCGTTACACCGCCACGTCGCCACAGGTCCTTCTCCTCCGCAAGGTTGGGGATGGTAGGTCGAGGCGGTAGTGCCACGCAGCCTCAGCCAGAAACAGAGTCGGCTGAATCGAAGTCAAGTCAGCAGAACCCTCGCCTGGCGAGCCAGAATACGCACCTGGCTACTCGTGCATACGACTACGTGTGCGTGAGGAATGAAGCGGGAGGTTCCCAGGGCGTGGAGGGCGAAGTGGCCATCTGTGGTGGTGGAGAGCGGAAGAGAAATGGATGCCTATCACGTGTCGGTCTTCGGACCGTTCTTGGTTCTTGCGTTGATACTCCCAATTCTTCGTCTTGCTGGGCACGCACAACTCCGAGTCTTCCACTTTTCCTCCACTCTGCGCTCCATATCCATATACGACACCGCGCACCATTCTCAACGGCACTTTGAAGTCCATGGTTGTTTGAAGCTGAGTGTATTTTACTTTGATTGACGTTTATGCGACATGCTTTGAGTTCGTAGCTTTCCTCGGATTTCGGGGCCTCGGTGTTTTCTTGACTTACCTCCAAAGGCATCCGGACTCCGTTGCGGACTTCCCTGTCCTTATGTCTCTCCCTTGAAACAGGCTACTTACTGGAAGTTCGAAACTTCTAAGTATGTTTATTGACTTTTCTTGAAACGCTTTCGTTTCCAGGGTGCTAAATGCAGTCATGCAAGTGGCGCTGGTGATCGCCACACTACGCCCACGTCGAGTGTGCCTGCTACGCTCTTCCATCAGCGATATCGATTGCAACATGGGTCGCTTTCCCCCGGAGCTTGAGCAGGCCATCCTCAAAATGTGCGCCGAGGATGACTGGAGTTTCATCCCCACACTTCTCTGCGTCGCTCAGCGCGCACATATATGGTATGTATATCTGAAATTGCTTCAGCGTCTTGAGCATCGCTGACCTACAGCATCTAGGCTCGAACCTCTCCTGTACCAACATGTCTATATCAGCACCGACCTTGAACGAAAGCCCGCGCAAGACGCTTTCTTCCATGTCGCTGTTGCCCGCCCACAATCCTTTCTCGCAAAAAGTGTGCGTGTGGTGGTGCTCGAACTGGACCATTCTGGAACACCAGCTCAAGACCTTCTGGAGCGCACCTACCATGCACTGCGGTCCTGCACTGGGATCCAGGAATTCGCCGTGAATGGTGCTGACAAAATGGACATTGGGCCAACATTGTTTCCAATCTTGGCCACCATGCCGCTTCGCCGCCTTGGGGCTTTTCTCGAAAATCTCCTACCATACCCAATCTCGATGAAAGACCATGCACCTGCGTTCTCAGCGCTCACGCACCTCGATGTGTTTGACAACGAAGGCCACAACAGCCACTCCCGCGACTCAGACCTCATTCGCATTGTTCCATTCTTAACGGCGCTGCCCAGCCTGACCCACCTTGCACTTGAGAGCCAGCCACCAGCCCATTGCATCCAGCAAATCTTGGATGGTTGTGCCTTTCTTCAGGTGCTTGCCTTCATGGAGCCCTCGCAGACCTTGATCCCCGACCTCGTCCCTGATCTCATAGAATATCTCCACGGCTTACCGATCTGTGACCCAAGAATTGTCGTATCCGTCTATGACGAATGGGAAGAGGTCATCTCCAGCTACGAGCACTCCTTCTGGACGGCAATCGACATTTTTCTTGAATACAGGAAGCAAGGCCGCATCGACAGTGAGTGGTAACTCTCACTCTCAGACATGAAGCTGCTGACGCATTTTCCAGAGGACCGTATTTACACGGGCGATTTTCATGATGAATATTCAACAGATCCCACAGCGCAGCTCATTAGACAGCAAATTCTCGATGTAGCCTAGCGGATAGCGATTCACGAATTGTTGTATCTATACTGGTACAATAACAATCTTTCAGTTTGGAAATGACGAGTAACTCAGCCTGAGTGCTGGTGGAATTTATAGTAACTATGCTGTCTCCACAGGCAAGTAGAACGGTAAAAAGACCTCTCCATAAACAGCATACGACTCGCTCGGCATCAGCAACAATTCTGGTCGATCTCAAGCCGCTGGGATCTGAAGAGAGGATTGTCACCGGGTCCTTGATCGCGTGGAGAAGGAGAAAGCTGTCATTCTGAGCACTATGGGGCTGATTTAGGTGGGAATTCCACCCCTCTTAGGACATATTATTGATTTCCACCTACTTTAGGTTGTATATAGGTCGATTGTATACTCCTCATTTCTGTGAAGATTTTACAATTTATTTTTTCAACCTAACATATAGGTTGTTTTTCATTGCTAACATCAACCAACAACCTAATTAGGTTGAAATTCTACCTACTTAGGTTAAATGGTATATATCTCTATCTATCACTAATTGATGTTACTTAATATCATTTAACCTAAAGGAAGTCAAGAATCAACCTACAGGCTACAGATCATAGCCCACAAGCAGAAAACATTACAAGTCCTGAGTTTAGGTATGGTTAACTACTCATTGTAGTGTAAGTGCTAAGGCTGCCTGTTCAAATCCCTCACTTGTCATATCTAATTATATTATAAATGTTACCTATCTCTAGTCCAATATTTCTACAAATCTACTGCAATCTGAAGTAATATATAGTAGTAAATATGAGATATCTTTTCATTACCAATTATAAAAAATCAACCTAAGAACAACCTATCATAACCCTTATAAGCCTTAGGTTAAATTCGGCCGATTTAGGACGGTTTCCCACCCTCCTCTTAGGTTGAAATACCACCTTGCAAAACAACCTAAATAGGATGCATTATAACGTATGTTTCCAGCCTATATTAGGTGATTCTATAGGTAGAAAACCAACCTAAATCTTCCCCATAGAGGAGGGTTCGTTTGTACAAAAAATAATTTCCGCGCGCGCACATGATTTCCGCGCGCACACAGAAATTTGGTCAAAATTTAGTAAGTTACACAAGTACATAACTCTATAATAAGACTGCCCAGTCCATTGCTGTCCACTGGGAGGCAGCGCAAGAGGGAGGGAGGTGGGTGCCAGCTGCAGTGGTCTAGGATCGGGTGTAAGGTCGTGGTCGTCATGGCTCGGAGTCGTGGCCGTTAGGGCCCAAGCAAACGGCCTCAGCTGCAGCTGCAGGCAGCGTCCGCCGTCGAGTGTGATGTGGCCGGAGGAGAAGGGCCGATGCTAATGTCACACCCCCCATTAAATATTGATAAATTTAAATGAGACTACAGATGAGGTTAGCGTGTTGAGGATGGAGGTGGAGGAAGAGGGCGCAGAGGAGCAGATGGGGAGAAGAAGAGTATAAATTTATGTAGCTATGACATGTCTTTATATACTGTAGCTATTTGTTCTGGATACTTCTACAGAGAGGAAGAATAATCAGTAAGTGGAAACGGAAAGAAGCTCGGGGAAGGTCCGGAGCGGCCGGGCTGAATAAGCGCCAGCCCGGCGATGCCATTCCCAAGGGGGTCCCAAGATCCTTATCACGGACGTGGGAGGTATGCTGAAAAAAACTTTTGCTATAACAAAGTTTGGGGGGGTTTTGGTAGGTTTGAGGTTGTGTTTGGATTAGATGTGTAGCATTCTAGCATAGAATGCAAGGTGGGTACTGACTAGCCCTACTATCTGCTTATGGCAAGGCTCTCAGCAGTCTAGTTGGGCTGTAGTGTGACTGGAGTGTGACTAGCCTTACAATTTATCATTTATATTTCATCACCTATAATCACAGGAAGCCTACCAGGGACTCTGTAAAGACTCAATTGCTATGTATTACTCAAAAATAAAAGCATTCTAATGAATGTGGCTAGAAATATACATTTTATCGCCACTTTTGATCGCATCAATAGGTCACATGATGTGCGATCATGGGAATATATTACCCGATATGGTAAGGGGGAGGGGGGGTCCCAGATGGCCTGAAAAAAAAAACTTTTCGACGGTATATCCGATTTTTGAAAGTTGGGACCCCCTTGGCCATTCCCAACACTCCCCCTCAAGCGCGAGTCCCATCGAGTCGGCGTGACGTCGAGAAGGCTCGCGATTGGAAGGTGGTGATGGAGAAGGTGTGAGTCTGTGAAATTTGAATGGGAGTGCATGTGATAGAAAAAGAACAACTGAATCTTCAGGTAGAAGCCTGCGTTGCCCGATGGAGTCGCCGGTGGGCGCGTACGTTGGTGTGTTTGACGCGAGGGGTGCTGTGGAATTGGCGGGTGGAAGCAAGAGGCTGTCAAGATGCCTATCACGGATATAGGGAGGGGGGGTCCCAAGCCCTAGAAAAAAATATTTACTGCTTCTTATATCTTAACTAAATATGGCTAGGGACACCTCAAAAACAGCTATAGTGCATCTGCTACTAGATTCTATATATATATTCCATCTCTTATACCTATAAGCAAGGTTTAATAAGCCCAATGTGGTGCAATAATACCAGGCTGTTACATTCTCATCACACTACTGGTGATACATGACCAGTGATTATCACAAATATGACCTGATATGGTCTCATATAGGCTGAGAACATCATGTAATACCTCCTTACCATATATATAGTGAAGTTAACACAAAAATATTACCTTTATCGGCGGTTTTGATCCCATCAATTGGTCACATGCCTTAGTAATCTTATCTAATCGTGGGAAATCATTACCCGATATGGTAAGAGGGGGGAGGGGGTCCCTGGAGGGCTGGAATTTTTTTTTCAACCCTATATCCATTTTTCGAATTTTGACAGCCCCTTGGGTGGAAGCATAAACTCCCCCTGGAGCAAGATCAGGGGTGTCCGTGGCGTGGGAGCAATCGCGAACAATGCGGGCGCGATAGATCGTGTCGTCAGCGTAGCGCTTTGGTGCGGAAAATCCAGCGGCAGCTGGGCGGGAGGTGTGTGGAGTCCGGGATGATGAATGAAGCCGGAGGCCTGCGCGTAAGCAATTTCCGCGTTCATGGCAGCATGCCATTTAGGCGAGTCTGGCCAGTGTCTTGCCTCAGCGTAGGTGAGCGGGGTCGGCGAGCGGCGCCGTGACAAGCTCAGTAAGAGGTTTTGGGGGTGTAGAAAGCTCCCCCTTGAGCTGGGACGGCGGCGCGGGAAGATTGGCGATGGGGATTAGAGGCGGCAGGGGTGGACTGACGGCGAGCACATAGAGGCCATTTGTGTTGGTGCCATGCAATATTTCGCGCTGATTGGGTGCTGGTGTGAAAATCCGGACATGCGGGCCGGCGAATTTGGACGGTGAAGCCAGCGCTGGTGAGCCATGGGATGGAAAGCAAGTTAAACAGCGCGTCCGGGACGTGTCGGACGTCGGTCAGAGTGACCGTGCAGTCGGGTTAGGAGTCAGTGGTAAGCGGGAGTGCCGCGGCCTTGGCTGGTAGTGGTTCCGAGGCCGGTGATGGTCTCGGCGCGTGGGGTGTAATAGGAGAACAAGTCGCGGCTGTTTGTGATGTGCTGGGTGGTGCCGGAGTCGGCGATCCACGCATCGGCGGGTATGGCCGTGGTAGCGTCGAGTGCCGTGAAGGCGTAGTTGGCGGTCTCGGCAAAGTTAGCTTGGTCGCTGTCGTGCGGCGGATTATCACGATTGTCGTTGTTGGGTTGGTAAGAACGAGGGCGGCTGTTGCGCTCGTTACGGTCCTTCTCGGCCTGAGTAAATGTGATGCCGCAGCGGGTGTCGTTACAGTCAGGCTTGATGTGGCCATGGCGGCCGCATCCGAAGCAAGTGACGTTGGGATTGAATGGCTTATGGGGCGGCTTGCTCGAGGTGTTGCGGGCGGCTAATGCGACCTCATCAGAGTTCGGCTTAGCAGTGCGGCGGTGGTTCTGTTCGAGGATGCGAGCGATGAGTTTGGTGGACGACGTGAGAGCAGCAGTGTCGATCCCGGAGATGAACGTGTCCCAGGAGTCGGGTAGCGATGTCAGAAGTGTGATGGAGAACTTGTTGTCAGTGAGTTGAGAGTTGTGCGGAGATTCGTAAGCTTGTGGATGTGCTCCTCGATGCTGCCACCTTCGGGGCATGAGAGGCGGAACAGCTGGCGGCGAAGAAGTACGATGGCGATGACGCCTTTCGGCTGGTAGGTGTCGGCAAGTGTTTGCCAAGCTTCAGCGGCAGTAGTAGCGGCGGTGACGTAGACGAGCAGATCGTCGGTGATCCGGAGACGAATTTGGGACAGGGCCTTGCGGTCCTTAACGTCCCAGGCAGTGATGGCGGCGGCAGTAGTGCCTTGGGGGTCGACAATGCTCCCCTTGTCATCAAGTTTATGCTCGGGGCGGAGCGCGGTGCCCAGGGCATGCTCAAGATAGCCAAAGTCGGTGAGTATGTCCGTCATTTTGACAGCCCATGTGGCGTAATTGTCCTCACCCGTGAGGTGATGGATGCGATAAGCGGAAGCGGCGTCGGATGCAGACATGATGGTGAAGCAGTGTGGGGGTTAGCGGCAGGTAGCGGGTGCACGGCAAGTGGTGCGCGAGAGAAGCAAGTAAGGCAGATGGCAGATGCGCAGTGTGCGCGGCAGTAGGCAATGAGTGGCGGTGCGCGGTAAGTATGCGCGGCGAGTGGCGTGGCAGGTGTGCGGCAATGCACGGCGTGGTAAGGCAGCAGTAGGCGGTTTGCGCGGCAGGCGTGCGCAGTAGCAAGTAGCTTGGCGTGCGAATAGATCGCGGCAGATGATCGAAGCAGTAGTCCGGCGGTGTGTGATACTCGGGCAATTCAGTTATGGCCGGGGCCCATAACCTGTTGAGGATGGAGGTGGAGAGAGAGGGCGCAGAGGAGCAGATGGGGAGAAGAAGAGTATAAATTTATGTAGCTATTACATGTCTTTATATACTGTAGCTATTTGTTCTGGATACTTCTACAGAGAGGAAGAATAATCAGTAAGTGG